GTACTAGTAGTAGTACGTAGTACGTACGTACGTTACGTAGTAGTACGTAGTAGTAGTACGTAGTAGTAGTAGTAGTACTAGTAGTGTAGTGTGTAGTGTAGTGTAGTGTGTGTGTGTGTGTGTGTGTGTGTGTGTGTGTGTGTGTGTGTGTGTGTGTGTGTGTGTGTGTGTGTGTGTGTGTGTGTGTGTGTGTGTGTGTGTGTGTGTGTGTGTGTGTGTGTGTGTGTACCTGCTTCTTCGCCTCTATACTGCTGCGGCCCTGAGATCTTCTACGCCAGCGATTGGTAGGTTTACTCCTCTCTGGACGGAAAAGGCCTATCCGTTTCGTGCAGCCCACGTTGTACCTGTCAGCAAAAGCCCATTATTAACGTGTTTACTTTTTCACAAAATGAAAAATTATAATGAATCAAAAAGTGACTCACCTCTTTGCACAAACCACTGAGCAGAATCTTTTAGAACCTTTAAATGTGTAGGCAAAGTCGACCCAGCCGCAGTATTCACATGTCAACTTGGGTTCTTGTTCTTTTTCTGAAGGAAGGGAAACAATATGGACACTCATTATTAGTTTCTCTTGTGAAACGTGTGTCAGATATTGTCTAGTCTGGTTTAAGTGACCGATACATGTGTTTCAAGTCTTATCAGGTATTAAACCCTGTACAGAATTGCACAACTCTGGCAGCCATTAGAAATATGCTCGTGCTACCAAGTTATTTCTAGGAATGTGCACCTGCATGAACGTGAGCACCTTGCCAGAAAACATGATTTTGCAGCAAAAGTTGAGCCAGTATAACTTTTTTTATCCAAATAATTGCATTTGCACCAAACTGTGTCAGCGGACTGGCTCCATTCAATAAATGAGAGGGCTGTGTGTTTTATTACACAGGGCTGGAGTCTGAAGGTAAATCAGTTCACAGCACTATGTCATCGACTCGCATGAATTTTGCTGTTTTGTTGCCTGACAAATGAGAATGTTCCAGGAAAAAAGGACTTAGGTTACATTCAATTTATCACAGACTTGATGCAATTAGAGTGAAAAACACTCCTGGAGAGCTACATTAGTTAACAGGTTGGTTTGGGACTGGCGAATAAAGGCATGCACAGGTTAAGTGGCTTGGGGCAGAGATGCAGAAGCAGGTAATTACATCCTTTTGTCTTTTCTGTATCTGTTCTGAAGATTTTAATGCTGTGAAGTTAACCCATTGTAATGTCACAATTTATAAACCTTCTAAACAGCAGATGCTTTTCCCCTCATGAGTCTCATTAATGCATCCCTGAGTTTAATGAGAGCACTGTGCTACACAAACTGATAAACATCAATTGTTGTACTCTTTCATACAATAATATGTATTACCTGATGTGTTCATGTCCTCGGTCTCTGAGTCGCTGTTTGCTGTGTTGCTGACGGGGGTCTTGTCGGGGTCCGAGGAGAGCTGATGATCCATTTTCTTCGGGCTGTCGATGAGAATGGGCAGACGCTCCACCTGGTGACAGAAAAGGGATATTTACAAATCTGATATCATGCTCCAGGAATAGGAAAAAAGGCTGTTACTGCTGTAACAATATAACTGGACGGCTTGATTTGCAAAGCCATAATTCTGAAAACAGCAATATTAGATCAATGATGATTGCAGCATTTGACTACCGCTTAATTAATTTAACAACCAGGTAATGCAAGTCTTTGTTACACCATTGTCTAGATCAGAGGAAATGGGGAAAACACCGACACTTCTGAACAATAGCTAGCTTAATAACTTTTGGGCTCACTTTGATAATCAAACTGCTGCTGGAGACATTGTTAGCAAAGTAGGAAATGTGGGTCCAATTGTTCCGAAAACAATGAGTCATCAGCAGGGAAATGATTTGCACTAGTGATTATAGTCATTAAATCATTAAATCAAGCATGAAGGGTTTAATAATGAATGGTTACAACTTCTTGAATGTGAACATGTGCTGCTTCTCTCTGTTTAATATAATTTATAATTGGATATCTCAAGTTTTGACATTTCATAGTGTTAAGACCTAATGAATAAATAGAAAAAAAAACTTCTAACAATCATTTATATTATATAATGATTAGCAATTAGCCCAATTTAAAAGAACCCTATCAATGTGTTTGCAATGTAGATACAGCTTTATTTCAGGCTGTCTAACAGTATGACTTCTTTGTGCTTGTTTAGACCTAGACCTGTATGCACGTAAATATACCAAGCATTTATACTAAATGTCCAGTAGGAGGCAGTGAGCCCCAAGACTAAAAACAACAACAAGCCTATGTCTTGTTGTTGCACCTGAACAAAAGGGTGTTAATTCTCACGTTTAGCTTATTATTATAAAAAAGGGGGATACACACTTTACCCGTATACAGATAAACAATATAATCACTGAATGTTAAGGGAGATGACACAAATTAAAGCGGGGTTTTTATATGCCTCGAGATAATTGAGAAGCTGCATCTCATTACACACACACACACACACACACACATTCATCCATCTGTACTCCTTCAGTCTCACTCAAATTAATGACTGACTCCCACAGAAGCTGTGAGCTGTCAGTAGTAGTAGTAGTAGTAGTAGTAGTAGTAGTAACAGAGGGTTTTGTGTTTGCCTGCTGACAGCTCCCTGCAGGCGAGTACACCAGAGAGTGTGTTTTTATCATGTCTCGCTGCTAGTAACTCTGCGATCGGGCCACTTACACACACGGGGAACGGCTCGGCCCCCTCCTGGATGACAAAGCCTTCGATGACATGTGTGAGAACCTGTGGCTTGACGATGGCCTGTGGCGGTTTGTTCTCTCCGTTCTGCGGCGTGCTGCCGGTCACGGTGGGTGCTTCGCTCTCATTTCCTGAGGTCATGGCTGGAGGTGGGGTCCCAGGTGGAGCAGCACTCAGCCTCTTGGTTGAGCCTCCGCCTGCTGAGAAAGGAACAAATTCAACACCATCCAGTTAATGTATGAGTGCTGGTCACTGGTGGGTTCTATGAATGAAATTAGAGCGAAAAGAAGGGTTGATTAAGCATTTCGGTCCAGCAAACATACACACACCCCCCCAGTTTCCTTCACAGATGAATATTTGATGCATTTCCTTGTCATATTGTTGTATGTAAATAATGTTGTTTTCAAATGGTCCCAATTACAGGCATGCATTTAGAAAATGTCACTGTAGGCTCTGGATAATTAATTATTTCATTTTCAGTTTTATTACATTTTAATGGAATTTTGTCGAGAGAACAATCAGCAGCCCTAGATTAATTGTCAGATTGAAACTTTAATTACAAATATATAACATATTCTGATTTCAGCTTCTCATACATGATTATTTTTTACTTTAATAAAAAAAACATATTTAAAAGACATCACTATGGGTTTCATTGAGAAGAACTTAGAAGAAACATTTTTTCAGTATTTTGTGACATTTTATAGGTGATTCAAATACCCAGCAGATTAATTGAAAATGTAAATACAGTAAGGACACTTACACAAGCACAGCAAAGGAGGGTACATCCACACTATTATTTTATTTAAAAAGGGTTGAATTACATAATGTTAATCATTAAATATCTTCAAACTTAAATAATATAAGTGACTTCAATCAATTAGATGTTACAATGTGTTATTTCTTTCAAGCTTAGAATAGTTTTGCTTTCTATAATCACAGATAAGAGCTCTTTAACAGATACTTGGCTGTGTATGATCATGAGGTCATTATTTAAAGTCCAAGCAGACACACAATCATCACATTATAGCTACATGCAAACAGTATGCGGTCATATCCACCTGCCTGCTGCTTTAAATGACTGCTCTGGTCTATTATCAGCAGAACATTTGAAGTGACCTACTGACACACAGACGGTCAATAACAAACAATAAATTCAGCGTGCGTGACTCCCAGACACAACACCGACGCCCCTGCTCCCCACAAAGAGAAAGTAAACGCCATGCCTCGTTATGTTAAAAGTCTCCAGCGTTTACCAAGCTTTCTTACCAACTTCCAAGGTGTTCAGAGAGAAAACATTGCGTTTCGTTTGTAGTTGTAATGATCCTACACACAGCGCTGCCGCTTCTGACCGTGTTTGAGCTGCACCGCTGCTTCAGACCCGCTAAAGAGAAGCTTTACAGAGGCCCGCCCCCCTGTTTCCTCCCATAGAGGCTAACACTAGAAGGCTGCTGCATGAACAACACATGCTTCAACCGGGAACCCGGGAGAAGAGTGACTCCAGATTCAGCCTGACCAGGGGCGTTTCCTGGACCTGGAAACATTAGGGGCTAGCCCACTGTGTCGGCGCCAGAGATTTTCTTTTGGGGGTGGTGTGGCTGAGCTTGACGATTCATAGAGGTTGCTCAAACATGTAGGGTTTCCCCATTAAGGTACCGGGCGCTACAGTGGAATGTTCTACTGCAACACTCCCCACCATAGACATATAAAGAGTAGACGCCACATTGGCTGCTGGGGCGCAAGAAATACGGCCGCCATCTTGGACCTGTCATCCTACCCATATTGTACCATTCTACCCATAGACAGCAGAGGTTTCAAGATGCCAGAGCACTGTGCGGCGTATTGCTGTGCAAATCGGCGGACGATTGCGAACAGGGGTCGCGGGATTACTTTTCACAAGTAAGATTCAACATTATTATTGGTTGTATTTTGTAAATAGAATATTATTGTACTGTATTGATGTCCGCCAGCGAAATCGTAAACAGCAAACATTTATGTTTATGGCCAACTGAGACTTTATAAATCATATGCTGCTGTAACAAGTGAATTTCCCCGTTGTGGGATGAATAAAATAAAATCTAATCTAATCTATCTAGGAAGAAGAAGGAAGAAAATAAGCTTGACCTCCTTCTTAAACATTTTTTGTGTTGACTCTCTCAAATCTCCCGTTTTTATTTTGAAGGTTTCCCAAAGACAAAGA